TGGAATAGTTGGATCCTAAAACCCACATAGGAGAACCTGGCTGAGCTCCCACTTCCTATCTCCAGACCCAATCCAGTCACAGCTCTGTGGTCACCTAAAGAGTGAGCCAGCAAATAGTGCTCTCATTCTCTCTCTTCTCTTTCTCTGTCTCTCAAATACATTAAAATGTTCTTGTTTTCTTAAATTGAGGAAAGAAAGGAAATGTCACTTGAATGATGAGAAAGCTAACTTCTACCAGCAGAGTGGCTTTGACCATAGAACTAAAATTTAGTGGTAGTGCATAAACTTGCCGTTTTAAAGTAACTTTTCATAGAACTATGTTTGTTTTTCATTACAGAAAAGCCAATCTAATTATGGTACAATACAGAAATTAATGGTTTCTGGAACAAAACATATTCCTAACATCCCAATTATTAAAAATTAAATATGCAGGGCTGGCGCTGTGGCACAGTGGGTTCAAGCCCTGGCCTCGAGTGCAGGCATCCCATATGGGCGCCAGTTCAAGTCTCAGGTGCTCGTCTTCTGATCCAGCTCTCTGCTGTGGCCTGGGAAAGCAGTGGAAGATGGCCCAAGTCCTTGGGCCGCTGCAGCCACGTGAGACCCAGAAGAAGTTCTTGGCTTCAAATCAACTCAGCTCTGGCTGCTGTGGCAATTTGGGGAGTAAACCAGTGGATGAAAGACCTCTCTCCCTCTCTCTCTGGCTCTACCTTTCTAACTCTGTCTTCCAAATAAATAAAATAAATCTTTAAAAAAAAAAACTAAATATGCAAGTCACAGAAATATGAAAACAGGGTTTTCTGTTGTATTAACATTTATAATTATCTTTCACAATTTAAAGCTCAAACTGAGGCAATCTACATGATCACTAAAATTGCAAAGTCTTTTTTTTTTTTATTTGACAGGTAGAGTTACAGACAGACAGAGAGAAAGGTCTTTCTTCTGTTGCTTCACCCCTAAAGGGCTGCTACAGCTGGCGCTGCGCCGATCCGAAGCCAGGAGTGAGGTGCTTCTTCCTGGTCTCCCATGTGGGTGCAGGGTCCAAGCACTTGGGCCATCCTCCATTGCCTTCCTGGGCCACAGCAGAGAGCTGGACTGGAAGAGGAGCAACCGGGACTAGAACTTGGCGCCCATATGGGATGCCAGTGCCACAGGCGGAGGATTAACCAAGTGAGCCACAGCATCGGCCCCTCCAAAGTCTTTTATAGACAAAAAATACCACTGAGGCCGGATCTGTGGTGTAGCTGATAAAGCTGCCAGCACTGTGGTGTAGCTGGCAAAGTGCTGGCATCCCTTATGAGCGCTGGTTCAAGTCCCAGCTACTCTACTTCTAATCAAGCTCTGTGCAATGGCCTGGGCCCAAGTCCTTGGTCCCCTGCACCCATGTGGGAGACCCCAAAGAAGCTGCTGACTCCTGGCTCTGGATTGGCGCAGCTCTGGCCATTGCAGCAATCTGGGGAGTGAACCAGAGGATGGAAGACCTGTCTCCTTCTCTCTCTCTCTGCCTCTGCCTCTCTGTAGCTTTGCCTTCAAATAAATAAATAAATCTTTAAAAAAAAAAAAAAGAATTCTACGAATTCAATGTATTTAAAATATGAGCTTCCAGGTTGATATTCCCTATGGTGGAAACAGGTTGTAAGGTCATCTTTAGCATGAATCTGCATTTCTCAAATTTACAAAATAAAATGTAGCTGTCCTACTAAAAGGTTTCTATCACAGAGAAATTTTTCATAAAACATGTATTTTAGAAGCAAACAAAACCTATCCTGATTATCATCATTAAGCATGTTCTAATATTCTCACCCAAAGCGAGACGTCTGGATTTAATTTAAATTCCTTCAGTTTAAGTAACATGTGTTCTTCACAATACTGACATGGCCAAATATGTCACAGGTTATCTCAAATTCATACACAAACAACAGAAGATGTTACAGTGGTGAGAAAACCCAGGCTTGCAGAGATGAGACACCCTGTTCTGATCATGCAGCCGGCAGGCAACAGAGCACTGCTTCCGATCCAAATGCCACCTATAGCAAAGAACACCAAATACTTAACCACTTAGCGTTTTCCTGAGCACACTGACTCAACCAGCAAGCTGTGACCTCAATCCTTTAGTAACAGAATCACGAATCAATCAAGTGAGCTCACCAGTCCCAAAACCGGGCTTCAGTTTCAACTCTGATACACAGACAACAAAGCCTCCAGAAACACTACACACCAGAAACACTCCTGATGGGGAACAAAAACACAAATATATATATGCTGCTGCTGACAGTCACCCTCTAACACTTCTTCCATAGACAGCCACTCCATTTCTGCTAATTCTTCTTTGAGTCACTCAGCTCAAATCACTCAGCCCAACGCCCTTGGATATGACAACATTAACTAATAACAAAAGATCTACAGAAGCTACTCTCTGCACCTCTTGCTCAGAGGGCATTTCTAGAGAAACGTGAGTTACATTGACTGTCTTTGGGAAAATCCTGTAATCGGTTTATAAAAACCATGTTTCTGTCTTCTCTCTCATATAAAGCCATGAAGCAACAACAACCAAATGTTAGCATCATCAGGTAAGTTCAGACATGAAGGTGTGAAGAAAACACTTCTACTGCCTACTTGTGATTTATAGCTTTATTTTTCAAATAAATTTTCAAGTAAAATTAAACAGGAGATATTTTAAAGTTAAATGAAGTTTTACTTAGAAAGCATAGGTAAGAGGCAGGTCTTTGCAATTAATACTCCATGTGGGGAATGGGGGTAGCATTGTGGTGTAGTGGTTAAAGCTGCTGCCTGCAATGCTGGCACCCCATATGGACACTGATTCCAGTCCTGCCTGTTCTACTTCAAATCCAGGTCCCTGCAAATGTGCTGGGAAAGCATCAAAAGACGGTCCAAGTGCTAGGGCCTCTGCCACCCACATGGGAGACCTGGAGGAAGCACCAGGCTACTGGCTTCGGCCTCACCCAGCCCCGGTCAATGCAGCCATCTAGGGAGTGACCCAGTGGATAGAAGATTCTCTCTCTGTCTCTGCCCTCCCCCCACCGCCCCAACTCTGGCTTTCAAAGAAAATAAATAAATAAATAAATAAATAAATCTTAGGGGGAAAAAAAAGACTCCGTTTATGACAACCAAATCCCATATCCTATATTAAAGTGACTGTTTTGAGTCTGTGCTCCTCCACTTACATTCTAGCTTCTTGCTAATGCACACCCTGGGAGGCAGTGGCAATGGTTCAAGTATCTGGATCCCTGCCATCCCCTTGGGACACACAGATTGGGTTCAGGGGTTCTGGCTTTGGCTAGGTCTAGCCCTACCTGCTGTGGGCAATTGAGGAGTAAAATCAAGAGATGGAAGATCACTCTCTGTTTCTCTGCCTTTCAAATAAAATGAAAATAAAAAAAAATTTAAAAATGCATAATTGAAAAAATAATTTGCGTGTCTTCTAATTTGCTGTACGTAGTATACACACACACACACACACACACACACACATTTTATATTCCCATTATCCAACAGATAGAGAAGTCAAGCACCAATTAAGAATGGCAGTAAGGACCAGCGCCATGGCTCACTTGGTTAATCCTCCGCATCATGTATGGGCCAGGTTCTAGTCCTAGTTCCTCCTCTTCCAGTCCAGCTCTCTGCTGTGGCCCGGGAAGGCAATGGAGGATGGCCCAAGTCCTTGGGCCCTGCACCTGCAGGGGAGACCTGGAGGAAGCACCTGGCTTCTGGCTTCGGATCGGCGCAGCGCCCGCTGTAGCGGCCATTTAGGGGGTGAACCAACGGAAGGAAGACCTTTCTCTCCCTCTCTCTCACTGTCTAACTCTATAAAAAAAAAAAAAAAAAGAAAGAGAGAGAGAGAATAGTAGCAAAGACAGCAGGTTTTCAAAAAACAGTATGTTGCTGTGCAAATCTGTGCCCCTTTGGAAAACACTTAACGTAATTATCTTCTAGGAAAGACAGCCATCCAGGCTTTTCCTCAGATGAAACAGAAGCCTTGCTCTAAAAAGAAAACAATGACAAGAGTCAGTGAGTTTCCTTTGCTTCTCTTTCAACCCTAGTAGAATGTAAATGGAAGACAGAACTGAACTAAGAATATAAAAGAAAAATATTGTTGAGAGGCATCCATAAATCAACGAAAGGTATGCTTCTTTCTATTAAAAGGAACGTTCCAAATTCATATTGATAAAAGCTTTAGGCAGACTAAATGTGTTTGGAATTTATACTCTCTGAGATTCAGGGTCTGACCTACTAAAAATAGCACTCCAAGAGGCCCGCGGAGAGGAAAAGTGCACTGCCAATAGCTGTGAACCCACAAGATGATGACACAACAGATTATCTCATGTTGGGTGTAAAAACACACCACTGTTGTATGCACAGATGATAAACAGAGAAAAAAGGAAGTCCACGTCAACACAAGTGTGACTCACATGTAAGATAACGCTCACAATGTAAGAGACACCCAGACGATCAGTTTCCAGCAAGTGACGACTCAGGAGCTGGCCACCCCTCACAGAGCGCATTCTCATGAGCACTCCCACCAGGACCACTCTGGGCCTCCTTCAGAGGCGGCCTCCCCTGTTGCTGAAGGGAAATCTACCTTCTCCATCAAGATCCCTGGAAACCCCCATCTGCTTCACTTCCTAGTGGTCAAAAACTGACCAAGGAGAAAGAGTGATCTGAGTACCGACTCAGCTCACAGAAATGTTAACAATTATCAAAGGCTCATAGGTTTTCCTTTACATATTTTTTTCCTTTTCCATGGAGTCCAGAGATGGGTGGTGAAGTTTGAAATATGTCACTTACGAGATAAGAAAATGCAAGAGCAGTAAACGAAGAATAATTGATATCAATAAAATTTGAGTGGTTAAATCAATAACATCTTCTTGTAGGCAAGCTGAAATATTTGTAAATTCCTCAGAACTCTAAAGGCATCTAAAGTGAAGTATTACTTATAATTTATTAAAAAGATCAATTTCACACATAATTTGAGGAATTCTTACCTTGAAAAGACTGTTTGGCTCTATCTACAAGTTCATCAATCGGATAACTGGCCAAATTTCCTCTGGCATGTTTAGTTTTGCAGTAGGTACAAGCGTTGAGACACCTGTTGAAGTGAGAGCAATAAATAAGGATCAGGATTACAGAGCGCGTGTATTTAACAAAGGGAGATCCCCAGACATGCTTGGTAGTGCTATTAGTAACATTTGCTTAATTTGTATGATACATACAAAAAATAAATATCTACCATGTCTCATATTTACTTTATTTCCACTAACCCCAGAAATCTATTGTTGTTTCAAACTTCCACTATTCAGGCTGTACAAATCACATGTTATCTTCAGGACACATGTCCAAAAGGAACCAAGTTTATAAAGGCTTTTAATGACTAATCTGAAGAAACTCAAATCTCACATTATTGTTTTTTGATTTTTTTTTTTGTAAACCACTGACATTTCTTTGGCCCCCTAAAGCTAGAAAATTGCAGTACCGCTTTTCTGTATATCAAACTCGGACATGATGAAACAGACTTCTTTAACTTAAAACTAATGATGTGAGAATAAACAGGCCACATGGCATTCTCACAGGAAAACACACCCTTAGAAATTTTCTGAAATGATTTTTCACTCTTTCAGATCTGAAAAAAGCAGTTTGTTTGTTTGTTTGACAGGCAGAGTGGACAGTGAGAGAGAGAGAGAGACAGAGAGAGAGAGAGAGAGAGAGGTCTTCCTTTTCCATTGATTCACCCCGCAATGGCCGCTGCGGCCAGCGCACCGCGCTGATCCGAAGTCAGGAGCCAGGTGCTTCCTCCTGGTCTCCCATGCAGGTGCAGGGCCCAAGGACTTGGGCCATCCTCACTGTACTCCTGGGCCACAGCAGAGAGCTGGACTGGAAGAGGAGCAACCGGGACAGAATCTGGTGCCCCGACCGGGACTAGAACCTGGGGTGCCAGCGCTGCAGGCAGAGGATTAGCCTATTGAGCTGCGGCACCGGCCAAAAAAAGAAGTATTAAAACACATCCAGTGAGTGTGTTCTGGGATTCTATTAATCAAATTAAAGAAGTAGAATGACAGCATTAGCTTTAAAAAATTTAAAAAAAGAGGTCTTTCCCAATAGGTTTTAGACACAATAAGAATTATCTTTTCAAAACTGAAATGTGCTAGAGTCTACTATTATAATAATTGTTATTATAATTTTAAATATAATTTAAATAAATTTCATACAATAAAATAAGAGTCCTATGCCCAAAATATAAGTCACAACAACACTGAACACAACAAATAGGAAGATCTCAAAAGTGATTCAATTGCTATACTGGGTAGCAAGGTTTTTAAAATACAATTCAATATTCAAATGAGTGTTTGAAAATTTCACACCAAGAAAAAGTGAACCTTCAATCACTGAACCTGAACAACGTGAGATTTTGTTAATACATGACTTTAAAGTATATACAATCAGTGTATGCAACAGTCAAATGTGCAATGCTTAGTTTTTGATCATTTTCTCGTGGAACCCGCAAGTCAAGTAATACATTCATTGTGAAATCGTGTGTCACTGTTTTAACCAACAACATGATCTTAAATTGCTAACTCTTCCACCTAAGCAATTTATATTGTTTTAATAAATATAAACTGCGGCCTTGGTCACATGAATAGAGTTCTTAAGCTTTCTCTTTACAATCCCATCCTGTTTGCAACAAGGGGACAGAAAAAACTCTTCAGTTGTTCTGTCCTTAGGAGGGAAACTCACTTTTATTCAGACCAGACTGAATATCATACTCTGTGACACATGTACACGTGTTTTACCTACATTAATGATCTCATTTGACCCTTCCAGAGTTAGGTTACTACTTACATTTTTTTTTTTTTTTTAAGGGAAAGGGTTTATTGACAGGGGAAATCTGACAGGCGGGAGGAAAGGGGCAAATTAGAGAGAAAGAGGGGGCAGTCGAGAGAAAGATGAAGAGAGAGAGCATGTCGGAGCCAGCACTGTGGCGTAGCTGGTAAAGCTGCTGCCTGCAGTGCCATCATCCCATATGGGTGCTGGTTCGAGTCCCAACTGCTTCGCTTCTGATCCAGCTCTCTGCTATGCCCTGGGAAAGCAGTAGAAGATGGCCCAAGTCCTTAGGCCACTGCATCCATGTGGGAGACCCAGCAGAAGCTCCTGGCTTCTGGCTTTGGATCGGCGCAGCTCCGGCTGTTGTGGTCAACTGGGGAGTAAACCAATGGACGGAAGACCTATCTCTCTCTCTCTGCCTTTCCTTCTCTCTGTGTGTAACTGACTTCCAAATAAATTAATTAAAAAAACGGGGGGGGAGGGGCACTGTGGCACAGCGGGTAGGGCCACTGCCTGCAGTGCCGGCATCCCATATGGGTACTGGCTCAAGTCTGGCTGCTCCACTTCCAATCCAGCTCTCTGCTATGGCCTAGGAAAGCAGTAAAAGATGGTCCAAGTCCTTGAGCCCCTGCACCCATAGGGGAGATCTGGAAGAAACTCCTGGCTCCTGGCTTCGGATCGGTGCAGCTCTGGCCGTTGTGGCCATCTGGGGAGTTAACAGGCAGATGGAAGATGCTCGCTCTCTCTCTCTCTCTCTCTCTCTCTCCCTCTCTCCCTCTGTGCCTCTGCCTCTCTGTAACTCTGCCTTTCAAATAAAATAAATAAAATAAAATCTTAAAAAAAAAAAAAAGAGAGAGAGCACATGTTGGGGAAACAGGTCCTGTTAGATCTTTGCCGGGGGTAGGGAAGTGGGACCAATGCATCCCACTGGGGTGGGGTTGGAGCTGAAGCCTGTGGTAGGGCCATTTGGTCACCTTGCTTCTTGCAATGGCAGTGAAAGCTAGAGCAGAGGATGGTGTCCAGGGTATACACTGTGCCATAGATAAGACTGCACCATTTTACTAACATTCCCCACTACTGCCTACATCTTACAGACAACAATCTACCTCCAAAAACTGCTCAAGGCCACGTAATAGCTGAGACTTAAATCCAGGCTTGTCAAAATTTCAAACTCCATGGTGTTTCCATTCCGAACCACCTCCCAGGGTAAATGTGTGTCAGACTTCCTAGCTATATATCAAAGCAAATAGTAAGACAGGAAATCATTCAGCACAAGATACAAAGCTACAGACGGTGCACATTCCAAGATGTGGCCGGTACTTGTCCTGTGTATGAAGCTGCGTATGTGAACTGTGCTTTTCTCTCTTTCATTCTTTGGATGTCTCAGAACAAAAGATCTTTTAAGGTTGACTGGTGAAAGCCAAAACCAAAATGGGATACCTGCTGAAACGGAAGGGAGACAGAAACTCCTGAAGGACCCAGGCTGCTGTGAGGCAGAGATAAAGCCTGCACACCACACCTCCTGATCTCAGTAACCTGGCCACAGGCCGAGAAAGACCTGAAACCTCCGGAGCACAGGGGGGTTAAGTACTTCATTGCACAGTAACACCCTGGGAGTCTTAAAAGGCAACTACGGCAGAATATCAGTTTTTAAATTGTTATTTATTTAAGTTTTATTTGAAAGGCAGAGTGAAAAGAGATAGAGGGAGAGGTATCTCCCATCCCCAAATGCCCACAAATAGCCAGGGCTGAACCAGGTCAAAGCCAGGAGCCTGGAACTCAGCTCAGGTCTCTCACACGGATGGCAGGCAGCCACGTATTTGAGACACCACCCTCCACCTTCCAGAGTGCAGTTTAGCAGGGAGTGGGAATGGAAGTGGAGGGCCAGGACTCCAACCAGGCTCTTGCCTATGGGATATGGGCATCCCAAGTGGCAATTTCTATACCAAATGCCTGCCCCAATTCTTATTTATTTTCTATTAACTGATAGAGTATCGCAAAACTTCAAATATTACAAAATAACATGCCCCTAAGAGCAGCTGAACCTTGGGAAAACCCTATTGTGATCAAGCCACTTCTATATTGAAGCCTAACCAAGCAAAGAAAAAAATAAAATCCCATGAAACAAAAAGTTAACACAAGGTAGACTATTCCAGACCTGACTGCTAAATATAGCCTCCTGTGAGTCTTCACCTTGGTTTTGAAAGTTTTTCTAGAAAAGTACGAAGCTTCTGATCTTTCAAAACATTACAGAAGATATTCGTATCATCAGAATCTGACTAGAACTTCAAGTGATAATATAATATCTGTTTGCTAAGGTTAAAATCCTGGACAAACAAAGAATAATGGCATACTAGGAAAACTTGCAGGGTATAGTCCCAAAACCCTAAATTTTTAAAGTTTTCTGTGGACAGAACTTCTCCCACCTAAAAGGAATCCCTTCCCTTAATTACAGACCCAATCTTCTGTCCTAACTCCAACTTCTTACTAGTAATTAGCACCACTGTCTTGCGCTGTGCCCACTCCGGAGTCTCTCTCCTTTTGCATTGTACCATTCATCCTAAATTAAAACAATTATATCTATATTTTCTCGTCTTTTCTCACCATTAGCTACGTGCTATTCAAAAAGTTGTTCCAGTACATTTTAACTCCCTACATGTTTTTCATTCCTTTTTCCTGCAAGCTGATCTTTATCACAATCAACCAAGAATCCTTCTAACAATCATCACAAACTTTAAAATCACAGTGAGGGGGAGGAGTGGCTAATAATAGGAAAAGATGCTTGCCAAACAATCAATTATGCACTTTTACATTAACTGTTTCATCTATCCTCATAAGAAGCTTGATATAAATATTATTATCCCTCCCTTTCATGGAGAAAATTGGGGCTTAAAAAGATTAGTGTAACTTGCCCAAAATTACACTAACAGCAAAGTCAAAGACACAACCAATATTATCTGAAATTCCTTTATCACTGATTATACACTTAAGAAACACTTACTTGATCAAAGAATACACGATCGAGTGCTTGATACTCTTGCTATATAATTTACTTAGGGAACAGGTGTATATCTTACTCATTTTGCTATCTGCTGTAGCATTTAACACAGCACCCTGTATGCTATTAGAATACCCAAAGCTATTAGTGATGTCACGATGGACCAGACGTTTTGGCTACACATCTAGAAGGTCTGTTGAGCAGAAAGGTATTCAGTAAAATACAAGGTAGGGAAAGGGAGCCAGGAATGTAGAAGGTTTGCAGCCGGAACA